GGGCCATTAAGACTAGCCAAGCTAGCCCACTTTACATAATAAAGACTTCACCAGCAGCTACAGAAAGACATGATAATATACTCAACTGACCACAAGGCATCTGAGAACTCATCACAGCCTAAAGACAACCCTCGTGCATGGCAACATGGGAGTCTGACAACCAATCAGAATACATTTCTTACACAGGAACAGTAAACAGAGAGGTGGGACTAAACAGAGAGGTGGGACTAAACGGGGTGTAAAAAGCCTAGCAAGCCCCTTCCTCAACCCTTCTCTTCTTCTCTACCTACATTGAAGCATGTGATCACCTTTTCTGTTCAGGGCTCAAGCCATGTGGTCCTGTCCACCAATAAACCATCTTTCCAATCAGCCTCCATGTCTCCAGTGTCTTTTTTCCCCACTTGGAGCCGAACCCAGAAAGGCATTTCTTTCAACAATAGTAAATAGTGGCAGCTAAGTTATTCTACACCACTCTACATTTTAGCAGAGTGCCAGAAAAATAAATTCAGATTCAGTAGGTATATCACTATTCAACTATTGTGAATTCCTACATATTTTTTGGATCTCCTAAATCAAGGTATTTATTTATTTACTTAAATAATCTGTAGTAGTACCAGTAGTTACTTCAGCAAAAAGGGGAACGCTACATAAGTACAGGTTATATAAGCTCAACCTTATATCTGTGACAGGCATGTTGAAGAATGTTTATCAAGGTAGAAGATGTTTGGCACACCAGAGATCATGACCGAGTAACTATAATATGATAGCAGCTGTCAGTTTGCATAATGGAAGCCTGGGGAAAGCTCTGTCTTTACGATACTTACATTGTATTCATTTGGAATCAAACCAAATCCATAGGAGCAAGAATATGACAGACAGCAAATCCAGATGTGATGGCAATAGGTTTGTTTATTTAATCTTGGCTTTGCCTGAGAAGGAAAAAAAAAAGGAGGTGGCCAATTTTATCTGAACAACGGAGGCGCAGTCAGAAATTGTAAGTTAACCCTCTGGTGTCCATCTATCTGGTAGATTTTTAAATTCAAGCTAATCTTATTTATTTAATCAATTGGTATTGCCACATTCTCAAAAATTAATCAGGGTAGTGTACAATTGAAACAATAGAACCCAATAAAATACAATTTAAAGAGCAAAGCTCACCAATGATAATTCAACAATAAGGCTATTTTACCAGCTAGCCAGTTCTCAAATCCTCCTGATCCAATGCCTGGGGGGGGAAAAAACAGATCTTCCAGGCCTTACAAAAGGCAGGCAGATTGGGGCTGTCCGGAGCCCAGATAATGTTACAGAATTGCAGAAATAGAGAAGACATATCTGCTGAATCCCATAAGATGAAATTTCTTAGCAGAAGGGATGCCAGCGCTGCCAGATGTAACTGAACACAGAAATGATTGGAGACAGGTGGTCTGCAAGTAACTAGGCCGTGCCCTTAAAAAAAAAGCTTTATAGATGATAATAAGGGTTTTAAAATGTATTTGGAAGCCCACAGCAATCTATACAGCATGTGATATGATAATATTGTATGGACAAATTAAGGGGTGCCTATAACTGCGCTAGGGCGCGGTGGCTTAGTGGCTAAGATGCTGAGCTTGTCGATCAGAAGGTCAGCAATTCGGCAGTTTGAATCCCTATCGCCCCATAACGGAGTGAGCTCCTGTAACTTGTCCCAGTTTCTGCCAACCTAGTAGTTTGCAAGTATGTAAAAATGCAAGTAGATTAATAGCAACCACCTTTGGTAGGAAGATAACAGTGTTCCATGCGCCTCCAGTGTTTAGGCATGCCGGCTACATGACCACGGAGATGTCTTCAGACAGGGCTGGCTCCTCGGCTTTGAAACGGACATGAGCACCACCCCCTAGAGTCGGGAACGAGTAGCACATATATGCGAGGGGAACCTTTACCTTTATCACAGCACTGCTGCATTCATCCTCACATACCATCAAAACAAATGGAACTAGCTCTGGAAAAAGCAGGAAAATCACAGGGACAGCAAATTGAAGTTTCTATGTATTATAAATTAATTACACCCCAAGCCCAGCCATTTAACTGAGCAGCTCAGGCGAAGAAGTCAGTGTGTAACACAGAGGGTAGTCGATAGAAACAATCCCATCTGTTTGCTAAAGCTCAGCTACACAAACAGGACCTCACATTCAGTTATTTGCAGATACCTCTGCCAGCCACAAGAAACTCACTGATAACAATACCTAGCTCTAACCCAAAGGCAACACTTGCCCTGGGACTGTGCATGATGCCACATTCAAAACACAAGTGTGTGCATGAAAGAGGAATACCTCTCTGAGCCCAAGAAGTTCTTGATAATGCATGTGAAGTCAGCCCAACTATCCATGATAACAGCGGTTCTCAACCTGTGGGTCCAGACCCCTTTGGGGGTCGAACAATCCTTTCACAGGGGTTGCCTAAGACCATTGGAGAACACATATTTTCGAAAAAATACGGAAAACATAAAATAATTTTATATTTGGGGGCAGTGGTGGGATTCAAATAATTTAACAACCGGTTCCCTGCCCTAATGACCATCTGGGTAGGTGGAGCTCTGTGGTCATGTGACCGGGTGGGCGTGGCCAACTCAACATCACTCAGGTCGATGGGCGCTTTGTCTTAGCTGTTACAATGTAATAAGGGTTAACCGGAGAGGCGGTTTCTGTAAGCAGGGCAACAAAGATTAGGTAGAAACAACATCCGAATATTTCCTTCCTGCCTTCCTTACAGGATTAGCCCTGCAAAGTGGGGAAAAATCAAAAGGAGATTTCTTCTAACAACCAGTTCTCCGAACTGCTTAGAAAGTTAACCGGTTCTCCCACATAGGTGCGAACCGGCTGAATCCCACCACTGGTTGGGGGTCACCACAACATGAGGAACTGTATTAAAGGGTTGCGGCATTAGGAAGATTGAGACCCACTGTATGATGAAGTCTGGACAAGAAAAGCCTTATTAAGGCTGACCTGGGGTTAAGCAGCAGCAGCCTAATCCAAAGGAGTTGGAAAACAGACTTTATTCAGGGAGATTGAAGGCAGAATCAGTATACAATAAGACTCCCCTTCTTTTCTCTCTCTAACCAAACCATGAAATTGCTATCTCTCCCTCATGTCCAAACAATCTCAAGAAATAACTCAGTGTCATTAGTCACTTCTGCCTGGACTTACTGACAAGACTTAGTGAACCTTGGTCTGCTTCTGTTAGGTACGCACCACTATAGGCCTCAGGCCTAACCACACTAGCTGTCTCCTCAACCACATATCCCATTACTCATGCCCTCACCCCAGGGGTGAAATTCAGCAGGTTCTGACAGGTTCTGGAGAACCAGTAGCAGAAAATTTGATTAGTTCAGAAAACCAGCAAATACCACCTCTGGCTGGCCCCAGAGTGGGGTGGGAATCAGTGGTGGGATTCAAATAATTTAACAGCCGGTTCTCTGCCCTAATGATTTCTTCCAGCAACCAGTTCACCAAACTGCTCAGAAAGTTAACAACCGGTTCTCCTGAAGTTTAAATCTTTTCATTCCATCCCCCCTCCCCTCATTCCCATCTTCGGTGGACAGTCCCAGTGTCAGCGTTCCAAGTATCATGTAGAATTAAATCAGAATCCAAGGCAAAACGATCCTCAAAGTTCCAATTTAATAAAGCAGACATCTTAGCACATCTGTGAATCCCAATTCTGGAAATTACATCAGAATCCCACCTAGTTAAAAGTTCATGATCTTGTCTCCATGCTCACAATCCATCACATGGTCCAATCTTCTTCTTCCACGCTGGCATCTCCACCCAGCTGCTTCCGGTCAGGTGGAAAGGTGCGGAGGCAAAAGCTGACCTTGGTCTTCTAGAAAAGAATGACGACAATATAATCCACAATCCTCCTCCTGTCTATTCCCCCCTCCCATCAACTATACTAATGAAACAGCATAAGGAAATAAGAGAAAGTGTGGCAGGCCAAAATTCTAAAAGGAATATAATTGCAGGCCTGACACTCAGTCTATTTGCAGTGAAATCCTTTCTGCTCCTCAACATACTTGGGAGTGGGTTTTTCTCTTTCTCCTTCCCACTCCCAACGCTCCCAGTTCTCTGTTCTTGGAGGTGGCTTGCATAGCTCTGCAGCTGGGCTGCTGCATGGAGAGCACTTGGTTCGGCTTTCCAGCGTGCTTTGAGTTTGGAGACTCTCTTCCTCCTCCAACCCTCAGCAAAGCTGGTTTTGCAGCTCCAAGACTTGCAGGTTTTTTGGTCCAAAGACTGCAGCTGAAGTGCTTGTCTTGGGGTTTATTTGTCCCACTTCTCTGCTGTCTCTCAGACTTGACCCCTTTTCTTGCTATTCCCACCCTCAAGTTTGCTTTTTGTTCTATTCTATGGGACAAATTCTACAGGTAAGAAGAGAGTAGGTTGTCTTTACCTAGGTAGCACCAGATCTCTGGATCCCAGAATACTTTCTCCTCTGGATAGTGAGTTTTCTCTTCCTACAATACTGGGGTTTTTTTTTTGCAAGAAATCGATTGATCATAGTTGAGGATACAATTCTCTCCAAAGATGATTTATGCAGCATCCTAAATTCTGGTTCAAACATTGATTGGTTCTCACATTCTCTGGGACGTGAATCTTATTTAACAGGCAACTGAACTCAAAACATCCCAGGCTTACAGCCAAACTAAATCTATTCTTTCATAGTAGTTTTGTGGTAATGGGATTGATTCATGTAGAGCAGAAATGTAAATGAAGGTATTTTTCCTTTAAAACAGAGGCTGGTGGCTGAGAATAACGAGGAATGATGAAATTCTAATCAAGGTAAGGAATAACAACTGATTTCCAAGGGTGCTAACAGGCAGCTGTCACCTGGCAATCACAATTTCTAAGGAGGAAGTACCAGGATTGTGAGATGCTCTTTCGATCAGTTTGCACCCATTGGCTAAGCACAAAGGTTTTTAGGATTCTGTCGCTGTGAAGTATATGATTCCAACCATTAACACAAATAATAAAACCAATGCTATGCAGAGGCAGATCAATTAAGAGGACCCAGAGCCGAGGTGGCACAGTGGTTAGGGTGCAGTACTGCAGGCCACTTCAGCTGACTGTTATCTGCAGTTCAGCGGTTCTAATCTCACCGGCTCAAGGTTGACTCAGCCTTCCATCCAGTGGTGGGTTTCAAAAATTGTTCGAACT